AACACCATACAATCTCAACACAAATTCTATGTTAAAGGGAATTGCAAATTCACAAAAAGATTTTTCTTTTTGAGAAGATCATGACAATTCAGTTCCTTTATCAGTATGACACAATACTTTTGGAGACTGTAAAGAAAAAATAAATAATTAAACTGAAATTTTGAGAGGGAATTTGGAGGACAGACTACATTTGCCAAAATCGAAGTATGGTCCTCATATCCTGACAAACTACAGAGAGTTCAGGACAGAGCCCTGCAGAAAACTAGGTTACTTCCATAAAGACTGCCATTAACATTTCTGAACAGACCTAAAAAGCTTTTAGATGTAAATCCCATCTACCTTTAAAATTAAATATTCGTGTTAATATTTACCAAACCATTACAAACAGAGGAAGCCCAAGGATTTGGAAAGGATTAAAATCATGATCTGGGAGCTATTACTCTATCTCCTCTTCCATAAAAGCACAGGCATGACAGCAACAGAAGGAAGCTGAGCACAAGGCTATTTCTTTTGAAATTTTAAGATCTTGCTGCACTGTTTTGTTGTTCAAATCAAGCACCATAATATTATTTTAAATGAAAGATGTTGTTAGTGGAAGTTGTATAAGGTGTCAAACATCTAATGTCAACATCTTGGAATGACACTGCTGTCTGCTCCCTTATACTCTTCCAGCTCACTTCCCCACTTATGCTCTTTAGAAATACATTTTCCTTCAAAGCCAAATTAATAAGGCCTTAAATGAAATACCTGTGTTCAAAAAAGCCTAGCTTGGATCTGAAATGGATCCTGCAGAAAAACTGAATAAACAGAAATATTTGCAACATCATTTTTCTACTTGTAGGAGTTTTGTTTTGTTTTTCCCAAAATAAGACATCTACTGCAAACTCTGTTTTGGATGCATACACTCCAGAGATTCATGTGCACCCCAAGTTAAGAATTTCCTATCAATCAGCTGGAATTTGTTAGCTCCCCACAAACCCTGAGAGGTTCTGTGGAAGTTGAACTCTTCTCACTAATTGTACAGTGAAGCTTAAAAAATTGTTCCTCACTTTTCTAAGCAAACATTAAGTTAGGGTAAGGATCTAGAAAGGTATCATACTCTTCTTAAGTGTTTACCCTTGCAGGGTATCTACCATGTTTCAGAGGAATTTTAGCAAAATCTCCTCAAAGTTTTTGTACTGTAAATACAAAAAAAGTTACAGCAACTCACTTCTGTGGACTTGGCTTGGCCCACAAGAGCCCACAGGAGTTTCCACAGTAAGGTACATGCCATACAAAAGCTAGGTGTTATCTACATACTACATGATTCCAAAAAATCCAATTTCAATGGTAACTTATAGGTGTTAAAAACATTAAACATACCAGCTTCTATGTGAAACAGATTGATAACTGACCATACTCACCTATTTTGCCAAATTAAACATATTTCTTCCAGCATCTATATTTACATATGTTCTGATGAGTTTTAGCCAACAAACACAAATTTAGGGAATCCATGTCTATCACATATCATCTTACTTGTATTAAATCCATAAGTCATATCATACCTGTATTAGAAATATATGCAATGTACCAAAAATGCCTCCAAAATAAAGAAACTATGCACAGGAGATTACACAAGAACAGCCTATTATTCAAGAATCCTACACTATCCTGAGTCTATACCTCCATGTTTTCTGCTTGGAGTATTTTCTCTACAGCTTTATCACTGACGCAACCAGAAAGACTACTGTGAACAGTAATAATTCATGTAAGTAATAATATTGTTTCCTGCATTTTCAGTTGGTTAAAAGGAGGACTATCTTGAGGCAAAATACACTCTTGAATTATATACGGACAGAAACATGACTACTGCAGTACAGTGCAAATTCTAAGTCACCTGAATGACTTTTTTGTTTATTTACGTTGGAAATATTTTAGACAGACAGGCTTTTAGAGGAGATTAAGGATGGAATTTACAGGTAAGTTTAAGGGAAGATAGTGCCTAAATTCTTTGAATTTTAATGGGGGAGTCATGCCTCTTAATTACAGACCTATTTAAAAAACCAATTCTGTTCTGTAAGGCAAAACTGATACAGAATATTCACATAGTTATCTAACCTCAGTAAACCACAATTTAAAGGACAATTTTCTGAACATTAACTTTTCACTGACTTTAGGTTTAATCTTATAATTTTTTTATTTTAAAAATTCAGAACACATTTACATTCCAGATATCCTGCCAGCAACAAGTGGAATACATCCTGTTACGCATGTTTTGTATCAACATAGCAAAAGATGAGGGCAATCACTTGAAATTCTTTGATATCACTGCCAAATGAAATACTATGAAGACTAAGCATCACTACAAGCAAACAGAGGATGTCAATGGAGAACTTAAAAGTGTTTGACACCCAGTATAACAAAAATCAATGTAAGTCACTTAATTATTCTCCTATTTTGTCATGCTGCTTATTTGAAAGCCAGTGGGCTTTCTGAAAGAACAGCCTTTTCATAATTATTAAAATGCGATTCTCATAAAAAGTGTTAGCTAACAAGTTGGATTTTAAAAATAATTGTGTCGAATTTCTCTTCCCCATATTTATGTTCATTCTTTGAAATACATAGTACTGAAAACCAGTCATTAGCTTCACTTTGACAAACAGAATACACTGAAATATCTGAGGAAAATACAGGGGGAAAAAAGTTTTAACTCCAAAATAAATTTAAATTTAAAGTTAGAGGGTTTTTTTTTAGATTTTGATTCTCCAATTACAAGACATCACCCAAATAACGATTACATGCAAACAATACTTCCCTACAGTTCTAGAATCAGATCTCATAAAAATTTAGTCATTGGAAATAAGTTAAAAGGAGCAAATTAAAAAACAGATCCTATGTTTTCAATTGCTGAGCAGTATATGAAGTGTGAAAAAATTCAATGAAAAGAAAAGACAAAATGTAATATCTTCAGAATCCTTTATCTCCTAAGTAAGAATACCTCTTCTCCCCAGAAAAACAGATTCCTAGAGCTGGACAGAAAATTCCTTGACGGGGCCAGAGTACAAAAGAACTGACTTACACTCTCACCAAAAGGAATAAAAAGATTTAAAAAATGCTGCAATACCTATAGAAAAGATTGAATATTTGGGCTGTATAAACTGGAAAGTGAATGAAGCGCGCCTTTGCAAAGGTAAGATGGGAGGCACAATCAAAGAGAATGCTAGCTGATTCTCACTGTGGAAAGGCGACATTAAAATACAAGGAAGTTACTTGTATACAATATCAAAGATGACAATTATTTTAATGATATTCTTGATACAAAGCAAGAGCATACATGTGTGATACATGTGTGATTTAGTCTATTATTAGATTTAGATCATATATGTGTGATTTAGTCTATTATTTAAGTATCTTCTACACTAAATGTCACTATTGAAAAGTTAATTAGGTTTGTCTTAGCTCCCTATGATCCTTCCTCCTAGAACTACAATCAATTCTTTTTTTCTGTACATTTCAAAATACCTAGCTTCACTGATGCAACAGCCAAAACACCCAAATCCTACATTAAAAATTCCATCCAACTAGGTAACAAAGCACATCTTAAGGGCTGTCAAAATGTTTTTATTATTAGTGTTAGGAGTAGGAATCCAATCTTTCCATCAAATAAACGCAGTGTAGATGTGCCAAGAAACCTAGAATAAATACCTAGTTGATTGGAAATTTTCAAGTTGATAAGGCAACTTTGCTGTATAGCACTATCAGAATTTGCTGGAAAAACTAGCTAGCATAAGGATTGAATACTTGTTGATGTGCTCCTTCAGATGTCCATACATTTTGATAGCCAAAATAATAATGTTTTAAAATGTTTTTCATATTAAATTGATGTCATAAGCTTTCTTAGTGCAGAAAAATAACTGTCCATGTAAGTAATCTTGGGATACAATACTTATGAAGAATCTATATTGTCAAAAAAAAAGGATTTAAATTCACCCTGATCAGCTTAGATTATCAAATTACATTGCCTAGCTCAAAAGATAGCTTCTCATCAGTTAAGTTCCACACATGTACAGTGCATTTGATATCAAACTTAGCCGGAGGGTATACTGAAATATTACACTAATTTGTGCAGAGGAGCTGACATGACGTACAATGGCCTAAAGCTAGAAGTGAAACCCCATGGGGAATGACAAAACAGACTTTTAACAGATGACTGCTGTGTTAATAATGGCGATCTAGGATATTTTTCTGTCAGTTAAATTGCTTGTAAGGACACATGTAATTAATAACATATACTGACTTTCACTACTCTTAAGAAACCTTATACTTCGGGAAAAGAATAGTTGCTTTCTACACTGACAGTCTCCTCTTTTTCCGTTACCAAGCCTTACCTTAGAAAAGGTAATTTTATTTTAACAGTTCACAAATCCTAAATAACTAACATGCATCTGTTCAAACAAAGAGCAATTTCCACTAGTTTTCTTGCCTATTATATCTGAAATATTTGTTTCATCTTAACTTTCCAAATTTAAAAAATGTATTTAAATCAAGCTAAACGCCCTAGGCACACTATGGAAATTTTATGCGCTTTTGCTCTCGAAAACCATGTTCTACACATTCCAGTCTATTTGGAAAGTAGTAAGTTTTCCAGCTTCCAGGAAGTAATCTTGATCTTAAATCCTCAAGAGCACAACAGTTCCAACTCCCTGCATCCCTTTGCCCCAAACCTTCCATTACACGACACCAACTGTTTATTAATAGAGCATGGGTAAGCAGAAAACATCCTAACATATCTCCCAAGCCACAGCTATTTAGCCTGACATCTCCAGTGGTACTCAGAGGATCAGCGCTTAACTTACAAACTGAAGAACTATGTGATTTCAGAAGAGAAAAGGAATATTTAGATGTTAGAAAAAATAATGACTTATAAAAACACATTTTTCTACACATTTCTTCTCTACACATGCTGATGTGCCATGACACCTCTATCTCCAATTGACACAGAACATAATTATACATACCACAGTTTGGTGGTTAACTTGAATCACTTCATCCCCAGCATGGATTTTCTTGCACCGATCTGCAGGTGACTGAATTTAAAATAAAAGAGATGATAAAGAATACAGCTCTTACTGGTCATCATCTCTCTTTCAGCAGTATGATTGCTAAGCTATGTAAATCAGGTTAGATTGATAATTACATTCTACTGTGAAATAATTAAAGAAATATTTAATAAATCAATTCATTGTTGTTGGAGAAAAATGCTCTGTACTGTTGTACCCAATGCAATTGAATATTAAAAAAGGTATGAATTTTTTTATTCAAGGGTAACCAGGTCTTAAGGATTTGCTTTTAATTTCATTCTGCCAAAAGAGTGCTTTAATCTGCCTGACATCTCTTAAGTCTGAAAACCCAGTCTTTGGCTGAATTTTGAACCTATCAAGCCTAACTGACAATTCCTCATGAGCAAATTTCACAACATTGCCTTTTTATTCTACAATGTTTCAATATGTTGCAGAGAACTTCAGTATATTACTGTTCTTCAAAGAGTACACCGGGAGAGAGGATTAGGTTAGGTACCAGCTAGGAAGATCACAAAAGTTACATTGTAACTAAGTTTCTAGGTCATTATTGGGGTGAAAGAAATGGAACCAGCATCAAAATCCTACAAAGATCACACTTTCGAAAAGCAAAGTAGTTTTCTTCTTTGCTTTTACCTCAAAAAAACACCCCAACAAAAAAATTCCAAACAAAACCCAACAAAAATCCCCAACCCTCCCCCATAAAGTGACATCCCCCCAAAACTTTCCCTTCTTCTGCCTTCTATATTTACAGTAAACCAACTGTTTTCTGAGGAAAATACTCCTATGCTTAGAGGAAACCAAGTTCCTTCAGCTTTTCATAGAGTGACAATGCTTTGATTTTTCTCTCAGTACTGTGGCTGCCAGCCTATGAAGGCACTTGATCAACTTAAAGGCAGAATTTTACAGAAAGGAATGAAATTAAATTCATTTTCAGGTGAGATAACAGGTTATCTAGAGAATATGCTCCAGGCCTGAAATATGGACTGTTTGTAATAACCTATGTACCACATCCCCATTCAAAATATATGCTCCTTAGCTATGCTGTGACTTTCTAGTACAATTCCATGTAACTCATGGCCTAAGATAAGGACAGTGTTCAAATGGAAGTTATCCAAGAGAAACATGAGGCTGAAAGAAGGGCCGCTCATGACTCAGTCCTAGGAGACGTTGCTCAGAACATCCTAAATCAAGCTGGGCTGGTAAAAGTGTAATTTTACTTACAGAAAGAACAGCAGCCTTGACTTTTTGGAACTATTTCAGCATTAAAGGTGTTGGCAGAGTGACTTGAGGAAAAATTTTAACACTGGTAATGATGGTCTAATGATCTGTCTTCTGCTGCTACAACTCACTTACTCATTCATACGTCTAACAATCTTTATAATCCTCATATGTAATACTGCTATTTTAGCTCAGATATAGTTACACCTAAGACTTTAAAAATGTCAATGCAAGTGAATCTTGTGTCATTATCGTTGAACTGTACAGGACTGTATTATGATACAAACTTTCTCCTGTACGGACTTCAGCGCTTGCAGCTTAAATCTTGACAAAACAGGTATTTTGTGTAGCAGTTTGCCAAGCCAGTAAATATGGTCTGAGAATCTTCAAATTGGAAAAATCTGCTTTAAAAAACTCATTGCAATTATGCCTCGAACATACTGCAAGGTGAGGTAAAAATCCTTTATACAGGAGCCTCAAGGCTGTGGTCTTATGAAGAGGTTGCAACTCTTGTTCCTTACCACTTTTTCCTCCCAAGTGAACAATACTGACCTTGCTGTAAAGAAACAGTATCTTTTATCATCACTATTTAAGGAAAACATAGGAGAATTGGTAAGCTCTTTCTTTTTTTTGGATGTATATGCCGATCATTAAGCAAAACACCCATTCAAGAAGTCCTACTAGGAGGAACAAAGTGTGTCACATCACAGCTAATATCTTCATTAGCTGGTAATTTGGTTCAACAGGTAGTTGAACAACAGAAGGAAGTAGTTATCGCTTAGGCTTACACACTGATACCATACAAGGTATTCAGAATCTGTTAAGGATTTGTTCTTCAGAATAGATTTAGTTTTGTCCTGTAGGCTAAACGTCTTCTTTGTCCCATTCCCCCAGTACACCCACACTGTCTGAAAGACCAGTTTAGACCCCTGGAGCACTCCCAGAGTGGAGATTTTGGTGCTATTTCTTCAGAAAGGCCTCTCTTCCCTGAGTCCTAAAGGCAACCCACAAACTCAACCAGTGAGCAGGTACAATGGGAGCACCCCCTTCAAAGTTACACTCCTGCTGGAGATGCACTGCATGCTATTACTTTAGAAAATACTCTTTTCTATTGGAAAAACAAATTACAAGATGGTCTTATTTGAAGAATACATTTGTTTCGTGAATTCAAAGAATCTCTCCAACATGGTCCAAAAGGGTTACTCAACAAGAAAGCTGTAATCTCTTCCTGGACCAATACACCCTTTAGATTTGTTACTTCCAAACAAAAGAGAGAAGACGTGAACCAGAAAGCTCAGCTTGCTCTAATGCTACAGGACCACCAGGGAGAAGCTCTTATGGGGCAGTGACCTGTGAGGAACCCTGCTCTCTCACAGTTCAAGTTTCAGAGCTCAGCTGCTTTGAACTGCAGGGCCGGTGTGTTGGGAGACATGACTCCTAATGCTGAACAGCAAGATCCAAACTCTAATGGGCTTTGTAGCTGGACATCAAACACCTCAAATGGCAAACAGAAAAAGCAGAACTGTGGTTACAAAAACTACTACATTACATTAATGCATCTAGCACTGCCATGCTACTGTGTTTCTTAAAAAGACAAGTGCTTCTCCATGATCTGTCAGGAAAGTGTCAAACAAAAAGTTGTGCCAATGTCTCACTTGGAGAAGCAGAATTGGAAAGAAGGCGGCCACAAAATTTTGTCCAAAGGGAAGAGAATTTGGATTCTTACTGTTTCCTAGAAGTGAAATTCTATCACAAATAGTAAATATGTCAACATCAATAGGTCAGATCACATTTGCACCATCATGAGCTTGCTCTGGCCATGCTGCTTAGATGTTTCTTCTTTTTTTTGTTTTGTTAAAGGAAGCAGCTAGCAATTGTGTGTTTAAAAGCAGGAGACACCTTACTTTCTCTAAGGCATTAGTCATTTTCACAAACACTTTAACATACAACAGGTTTTTCCCTAGACAGCAGACTGCAGTTTCTTGGTCTGCTGTGAGCACCTCTAGGGTGTTACAGTGAGTGAAAGAGTCAGTAATGAAAGCAGAAAGTCATCACGACTGAAGCTTCCTGACATGGCTTTAAATTATATTCATGAATCACAAAAGAGAGGAGTTTTGAGGGAATGCATTAAGATTTTATTTTTATCTTTGCCCTTGGGAAATTAAATCCAATATTAGTAAGTCATGGAGAGAAATGATTCCTTTTTTAATCTGAGAGAAATTCAACTGTAAAAACCATCCTCTTTGCTTTCATGTTTTCTAGATTAAGCTCAACTATGTTTAGTTTTGCTAACTTCGCTGATGATATCTGTAGGTCTGACTCCCTAGGATTTTGATTTCAAGATTGAAATTCCTTATGTTTTCCTTATTCTGAGACAGGTGGCATTCACAGAAGTTCTACAACAGATATTATCTATTGGGTATAGCCCATGGATATCCTGCCCACAGCAGAAGAAAAAAGAAAGAAAGGCTATCAGATCGCAGTTCCTATGAAGGGATGAAAATAAGATTCCTATTTTACTGAGATGTTAACAGAACTTCACTGCAGATCAGAGGCAGCAGCTGTAAATACCATGTAGGTAGTTTGCACTTTCCATAGCATGACACAATAGCAAGATAAAACAAACATTTCTGACAGCTTCATTTTAAGAAAACGCCATCAAAATCTTTGACAGGAATTGTCTAAGCCATTATGGAACAGTCCAGTGTTGTTTAGTGGCTTGTTCCATGTTCCTTGAAGATTATGGATAGAAGCTTTTCTGCCCAAAATGATCATTTTGCTTACTTCCTAACAGACAGCCAGTTCTCTAAATATGGTGTACAAGGAAAGGAGGTTGCATTTCAAAGGCAGTTGTAAAGTAGTCTATTATGTTTTGTTTGCTGTTTAATACCTTCAGTGAGAATTAGTACACCAGTAATAAGTGTTCCTTTCTATAAGCATTACTCAGAAGTTCATGCAGAAATATATGGTTATTTGTCAATGTGAAGGGATGTTCTCATATCCATGCATTTATTTATTACAGAAATAAAGCTTGATAGATGGAAAATATAAAAGCTGTTTGTCTAATACTGCAGCAAACTCCAGCATATCAGCTTATACATAATAAGGGCATTTATCTTTTATTCACAGAGCAAGGTAACTCCAAGACAGCTACTTCCTATATTGATCAACTGCAGCATTTTAGGTGTCTTGCAAGAACAAATCAAAACTGATTCCCCTGGTCCTCAACTGGAAACAACTCTTTCAATTCTGAGGTAAACAAGCACAAGCGTTTCTGCCGTCCAACATGCTATTGGTCCTCAACAGCCAACTAGCACACTTTTGCAAGCAAAATGTAGTCTATAGCAAAGGGAAAGCATAAACCACAGGTAAGGTCAAAAAGGCTTCCAGGCCTGAACATACAGTATTAACAATACTTACATTTTCTGTTGTTCCAGTAATTACATGGAGACCATCATATGTTGATTTAATGTACATACCCTAAGAAAAAGACATCATGGGAAAGAATTTTTAAAGTGTTTCATAAACCATTCACCATCCAAACATAACTTGCATATCTCTAAAAGAAAAGCCTTTTTTTTTTTCCTTTCTTTTTTTTGAAGATTTGTGGACTTTTAATATATGCCATGAGGAATTCACCTCTGGATAGCAAAGTGCTTTCTGATACACTTCGAGAACAGCAGCCCCAATGTTAGCAATAGCAAACTAAAACTTTTACCACAGTCATCTCAATAAATACTCCCCAATTTTTTTAATATACTCCTTCAACTACAAATATTACAACACCTGATTACAAAAAAACCCACCCAGAATTACAAATTGCCTTAGGATGATCGATACTTCCATTTTGCTTTGGAAGCTACAGAAGACTAAAAGATCTGGAGTCGCTGGTAGGCAATGCTGCAAACATAACTCTCAAACTGATAACCAGTGCTCTGAAGTGCGCTTGCAAAACAGCTCTAAGACCTTCTGATAGCCTCACTCACCTCAGTGAACAGGTCAGCTATAAAACTCAGTGGTGAAAACTTAAACATCGACTTTGTTAGTTATCCCACTTCTTTCAGAAATATACAGAAAAGGAGGGATAGCTTATGAACAGACTGAAGTTCCTGCATGGGTAGTCTGAGACAGTGTCTCAGACTTTTCATTAAGTCATAATTCAAACATTTTAACAGCATCTCTCACTGAGACAGTGAGAGAAGAAAAAAGGAGAGATAATTGGCATACACTGAGCATTCAACAACTTCTGAGGAATCTCCTTTCCCCCAAACGGTTCACACAAAGCAGGTAAAAATTGAGCACTTGAGTAAACATTATCTCTGTAACCTACTTTTCCTCTTTTTCGTCAGAGTGCCACAAAGAAGTCTGTTCCTAGCTGAGGAACTGGGTGCACTCCCTGGTCATTAAGTACGGTAAAGAGGCGAAGAAGACCTATCAGGTTGGACTAAACTAATTTGGGACCAGAACTCACACACATTTTGGTCATGGGGACAAGGAAGTACCTTCCCCACTTATCAAAGTGGATGATATCTCCTGTAAAAAACAGGGACTTCACAAGTTTCTTAGAAGAGGGGGTTCAAAATTAAACTCCTGTTTTGCTCTGTACAATATGTAGCAGTAATGGCATCAAATCCAGTTGTCACATTGGGCTGTCACAGCTAGAAGAGACCAAAGCAAGAATCTGCTTGTTACTACACAGAAAGGAAGCCTCTAGTATCATTCTTTAACTTCCAGCTCCTCTATGACCCTTCAGCAATTTTTCCATTGATTGGCTCCATGAACGTAGTTTCCTTCCAGTTATCTCAAATATAGAATGGCAATTTCTTATGCATTTATCCTCACAACACCCCTGTGAGGTAGGGAAACACTAATATACACACAGTTTACAGACAGGATAATAAGCCACACAAGAGGCTGAGATACATTGGTATCTGTTATTTGGTACTCATGCGTACCTCAAACCAACAAAACCAAGGACCTAAATCTCTCTCAGGATCTGGATCTAAGTGACCTGACCGTACACCCTGTGACATGGCAAGAACTGAAATCACAGTGACAGGAACTGACTCAGGTCCCCACACAGAGCAATTTCTGAAGAAACTCACGTCTTTGTTTTTATTGACAGGGAGTTACTGCTTTCAACTTATCAGGATGAAAGTAGAGGATGAAGTCTCACATTTAACGGTTAGACAATGTTTAGTTTTGTGCAAAGCCTTATTCTGAAGGATAGTGAGGTCATCCAAGTATGCTATGATGGCGAAGTGCGTTTCACATCTAATCTAGTCTTTTCTAGAAATTTAAAAGACTCTGAAGAAGCAAAAGAGGAGAAAGAATTTTTGCAGAATTTTCTTTAAAGGCTAAGATTAAGATTTTGCACACGTTGGGAAAGAGAGGGAAGAGGGAAGCTAGGAAAAAAAAATTCTTTTTATTCCAAACATGCAAAATTAATAAATGTTACTATGTGTACTATGCCACATTAGTTTTGCATGTTGTACTATGCCAACATAATTCTGTTCACAAAGCAGCTTTTAAATGTTGAGAGGTAACATTTTGCAACAGAAAGATGAGCTACCCTTTCACCCACGTTCCTCCACACCTTAAGTGAACAATATATGGGAAATGGTACAGAGAAGAGAATGGTTCTGGCTTATTGTTTGATCTGGAATGGAAATAAGAATACTATAGGCATTTACAAGTTTTCCCCTCTCTGCCTCCTTGTGGCTGCACAATATGAACAGTACTTTTAGGGATCAAGAATATAGGGGAGATGAGTGTGTGTGCTGTTCATTTGTACTGAAACAAATCAGCAGATACACATCTTAGATATCCAAAGATAATGCCATGGTCTCTATGAATTTACCAGAATCAATCAGGTCAAATTAAAGGAAAGATAATTCAGTTAATACGATTAAAATAATTGTAAAGTAACCACCCTAAGAATCAAGAACAAGTGTGTGCCTAGATTAAAGATCAGGTAACTCATGCTTAATTACATCACAGATTGTCCTTCCTGATCCATTACGAGTGGAAGTCTAATTTCAAACTGTACATTTTATCTTGGTGCAAAATATTATTCAGTTAAGAGTTAGAAAAGAGACCTTGTACCTTTTTTCTTTTTGTTCTTTCTTTTCTTTCTATTTTTTTAAAGAATGAAAACAGAATCTGAAATACTATTAACATGTTTTATGCCATGCTGGATGAAAAAGAAAAGAAGATACTAATTCCATTTTATCACACACATAACTGAATTTTTACTCTTTCACTGTGAGATTATCTTAATGGAATCCCCCAAAGTTGCACATGCCTCTTTAACCCCAAAAGTTCTCAGAGTTCTTTTCATAATTTTTTCCCAGCTCCTCCAATATTTCAAGCCAAATAACTCAGAAGAAATATTAGGAACAGTACTACACTGGATTCCTGGAAAATACTTTCTAGCTAGGCAGCCAGCAGTGCACCTTTAAACAGCTGCCACATTCTGCTGTATCTACAACTTGTATTTTATGAATGCTTTTTCACATGGCAGGCTCATTTTTGTGTTTGCTTCGGCAGGTGAAGAGGAAGTCAGAACAGTCTCATGTTCTGGTGGATACACCTTTGCGTTTCTGAATCTAGCAAGCTAGGTGAAAAGCTGCTACTTGAAATTATACTATAGCACCTGAACTAACTAGGATTAAAATGATAATATGAACAGGAAAAATTGAAATTCAGGCTTAAATCTTGCCACAATTCTCTGATATTCTGTTCTATATTAAAAAAAAAAAAAAAAGTAAAAGACTGTCGAAGAAAAACTTCCAAGGAAAAGTGGTAGCTATAACCTGGTTACTTGCTATTTGTCAAAGAAAAGGTATACAGAATTGTGCCTCTTTACTAAATACGCTTACTGTTTTCAGTCAAGCAGTAATATCTTTAAGTCTGTTTTCTGGCAAAAGATACTACCTAAGCTAGTCAGTTTTGTCTCTTTCTAGAACATCAATAGTGTAAAACCACACAAAATTCAGTTCTGCTTAATGATACACATAAAACAACTTCCAAGTCCTCAAAAAAAAAAAAAAAAAAAAAAGAAAAAAAAAGAAAAAAAAGAAAGGAGTGATTACTCATGGGACCATGCTGGTGATTGCAAAGCTGACCACATTAATCCATTTCAGAGCCTTTTAAAAGAATTTTCTACTCTGACAACTCCCTCTTCACCCTTACTTCACAGCCACCGCAGGCTGTACCTCAGCAACACTCACTGGAGAACACAGTCACACACCCGGGCAACAGACCAGGGATAGAGGAAAGAAAAAAAACCCACAATACCAAAACCCACACACCCATAATGTTGCTTTACCCAGTACACCAGAGTTTCCCCACACCACACCCTAACAACATTTTCTGCTTGCCAGGTTATTTAGTCTGTTTTTCTGATAGGTGTTAACTAGTTTTAATATCTATAAGACATTGTAAACCCTGTAACACAATTACCTTCTCCTTCTGCATTAAGGTATTAGTCTGACAATTTACATTTACCTCTGACTGATACTTACGTTTCCAAAAAAAAGGTCAAACACAATGAAGGAACTATTTGTGCTGATTAAAACATCCTGATAGTGCTCCAATGTGTTTTAAGTTGTAAAAACTCCAATTATTATCTCAATTCCATTTTGTAATTATCATATGAGTTTAGGGAAATATGATTGGTTTCCAAACTTTTTATTTCCTTCTCTTCTCTTTTCCTTTTTCTCTCCCTCATCTACTTTAGCTTCTCAGATATTAAATTTGAGACATGTTAGATATTCTATTTATGCTAGGTGACAAAAAAAATCTTCACAGTTAGTAGCCATCCTTGCCCTTTTCCTTCTGCTTGAAGTCTTTCCATCTTTATAGAAGATTTTATTCAGTGATCAGTAGAGTCAGCACAGAACTATCATGTGGGTCAAAAATCTAGAATAAAGTTGATAATGATCCATTTTTCCATCTCCATTGTTGCACAAATCATGGTAGAAGGTCCAGAAGTTATCAAGCTTCACATTCATCCACGTGCTCCCTCCTGATGTGCAGAGGATATTCACAGCTCCAAGCTTCACCATCAATTTTTAAACTGACACACTTAGCACTCAACAGCGTGGTACCAACATGCATTTGCTGTATCTTAACTGCAAGATTTAGTTTAAAAAACAGACAAACAAAAAGCCCAACAATCCAAAAGCAAAGCTTTCATACAGAGCACCAAGAGCAACCTGACAAAGATGCTCTATTAGTAAGACTAGCACTGTAACAAACTGAAAGGTATGATATTTACCCTCCCGGCGCAAATATATCATCCTTAGTTCCTGCTCTGGAGAGCTCACAATCTAGAGGAGACAGCACAATACAGAGGCAACAGAATAGTGGCATACAGGCAAGTGGAGAAAAAAAAAGACCATATCAAAATAGTATTGTATCCTTCTAAGGCTTGTATACTGCACAGTTGGTATTTTCCATTTTTAAAAAATACATATAATAATTTTTATGACAATGACATGGTAGTTCTCAGTCAGCATGAAGACCTTGTTCAGCTGGTTCACAAATACATATTAAAAGAAAAAACCCTGCCTTAAGAGCTGCCAGCATAAACAGACAAGACAGACAGAGGGTATAAAACAGAGGCACAGAGGGGGAAGAGATTCTCTATCTGATCAGCTACCCAGCAGGAACAGACCCATGAAACACAGTCTTATTTACAAAAATACTGCTCAACATTTTTCAGTCACTGGGGGTTAACACCACCCTACAGAAAGTCCTAAATGAGGAGAAAAATAACAGTCACAAGACAGAAAGGAAAACAAAGAACAACTCAGATAAAAATGGACAGAACTCCAAAAAAAGTTGTCTGAGAGAAAGGGGAAAAACATTTCATTACAGCAGAAGATAGGATTTTGAAAAGTTGACTGCAGTGAGCTGGTGAAGAGATAAAATTATAGGAGAAAGAGAGGGAGGAGAGAATCCATGAAAAGTTGAAATCCTGGAGGATTAGTTTGAAATGGATTCAGAGATAAAAAAGCTAGTGAGGAAGGGAAAACAAATAGCAGACTAACACAAAGGATGGGGCAATATTTACTCATCCAAATGTTTGGGTTTTTTCTCATATTTTAATTGTCATTTGCTGAAAGAATGAATGTGGTGTGTAATTGCTCTAAATACCTTGGCATACCAAATTTGTCAAAACACCAAACCAAACCCCAACACCCAACAAGAACCAACCCACAAACCAAAATACTCTCCAAAACTACATCATCCAAACAACTTCAAAAACTTGCTGTGAAGAGCACAGCAGTAGTCCTTCTCATTCAAGAAAATGGAATGAGAATAAACTTGGTCAGAAGTTGAAAAAGCTATTTCATTAGGCAAAATATGGTTAACTGTATTCTGATCATCTTCTACTACCTCTAAAGATTGTGGGAAGAGATATTATTAGCGATATAAACTTGTGAAGCTGTAATTGTTACCAGTGCTGGTTTTTTCCATGCAGTGGGTGTTAGATATTTGAGTAAACAAAAGATCAATGGTCAACAGCAAACATGGGATGGCTGCACTGAGCCTTTACAAGCATCTGATTAACCATGCAGAGTTCTGGCAATAAAATTCAATAAGCTACTTCTCAGCAGTGCTGTAGAACCCTTGAATAACTTATAAAATATCTTTCTATCACAGAGATACTATGAAGCATATTCCAGAATTTGACAGGTTTTGTGCATAAGCCCACGCAAACTTCTTGGTTGAGTTGATCTTAGTAATTTAAATCCCTTCAGACTTCAAGATCCTAGAACAATCTGAACCATTTTTCAAAAGCCAGTATAAATGGCAAGAACTTCTCGCTCATTTCTTCCTGTTCACTAAACTCTTTGCATACATAGGTCAGCCTTACAAAATACCTCCCTGTTGGCCCAGCTGCATGAAAAAAACAAACTAGCATGAGAAATCAAACTATTTTCAGACTTTAAAATAAAAAAGGCTAAAATGTCCTATTACTTTCCATATATGTAACTTATTTAAAAAAAAAAAAATCACTTTCTCATCCTGGATGATGGGTTTGATTAACTGCGTACTTCTTACCAGCCCTTCACTTGGCTTGATGTTTGTAAGCTGAATCACTTCAAGGTGAGCAGACTGGGAAACCAGCGGATCAGAAGAGAGCGAGATAATGTGATCACAGACGCCAGAGAGAGTTTTACACTAGGAAGAAAAAAAGAAAATAAAATGTCACCATAAGCATACCATTGCTATCTGTTTGCATATCAACCTACAGTTTAAAGTACTGCATTTTTAAAGTACATATTAAATCGCATTGTTGAATAGACAAGGCAGAGGGAATGAAGGAGGTGGGGAAAGGCCTCAATCAGCAGCACAGCACAAAATCTGGTTTTTGCTATGACCCTGAACTGACACAGCGTCAGACTAGGGAAGCACAAGAGGCAAACGCTTTTGGATCTGAGTAGAGAGAAGGAGGAACTGCATGAGCTGCTCCCACACACTCTCAGGGTTAGGTGCCCTGCCTCCATGCTGTGCTCAGGCACGCAGGCGGCGCAGGGTGACCTCCGACCTCCCTCTCTGTCCACATCTTTTGCAAGACATTAGCTGCCCCCAAATTCCACTAATTTCAGTTGAACGTGCAGATGTTCAGCACAGATGAAAATCAGGCTCTTAATGATGACGGGTAACTCCCATTAACTCTGAAGTTTATTCTATATTAATAAAACGTGCTAATTGACTTTGGACTGAGTTTCTTACGATCTACTGCTGCCAAGTATGATTTACTATTGCAGGCATGAAGATTACAATAAATAACCATTTCACGATGGGATAATTCTTAAACCTGTTATCCTTGGCAGCCTCTTTGCAGCAAGATAGAAATAAAAAAGTTTCTAAAAAGGCTGGGACTGTCAAACGAGTATTGTGTATCTCCTCATCTCTCGTTCCCTGAACTCCTTCATCTCAGAGGCAGGGAAGTTGTGAGTTTTTCCTATCATTCTCTCATGTTTCTGTAAGCAAGTGATTTTGGAGAGTTTTAATGTTTTCCATGAGTCCCCTTTCAGCATCAACTGATTTCTTGGTTCAGGTTTCCAAATGCATGTTTTTTCAGCAAATTCAGGGATTAGGATATTCTTCTGGTCCCACAACTGTGGCTACCTCCAAAATCAATTAAGAACCAGCTTAAATGCTTTCAAATTCAAAAGATTAAAGCTAATCAGTCTCCTCAAATGACTGAAACACAACTGCTGCACCAACCACTCTTCCAAGATTGCAAATGTATTGGGTTTGCATGGTCAAGTTTTGGTTGCAGGGGGGCTACAGGGGTGGTGTGTTGGGTTTGCGTGGCAAGGTTTTGGTAGTGGGGGGGAGCTACAGGAGTGGCTTCTGCGAGAAGATGCTAGAAGCTTCCCCTGTGTCTGACAGAGCCAATGCCAGCCGGCTCCAAGACGGACCCACCATTGGACAAGGCCAAGCCAATCA